GCTGCAAAATAGACATTAAGCTATGTATAAGTTCAGTGGGTGGCTGCGTCAGCATGCATAGGCTGCAAAGGAACAAGTAATAGGTTTATTGTTGTCAGAAGCTGTTATCACTCACCTTAGGTGTCAGTCCTCTAAAAATTCATTATTTCAAATAACACTGTCCAATTAACTGGACAGTGAGAACATAAGAGAGGTTACAAATGAGAGGAGGCCATTTGGCCCTTCTAGCCTGTTTAGACATTAATAGCTAATTGATCTGAGCAGCTCCTCCAGTCATGAAAGTTCATGAAAAAAGCAAGAATATTAGTTTCAACAACAAGACTGGGTACTGTAGCGTGTTCTATTCTCCTACAAGCCTGAAAGCATTGGATTAGGAGTATAGGATTACAATCTTAAAAATGTAGGTTTCAAAGCATATTATTCCATAAATATTTACATTCCTATGATTCTTATATGGATGCTAAATATTGAGCTATAACCCCAATAAAATACAAAAAAATATGTGTAAGCATGATGTTGAGTAGATGGTTGATGATTAGGTGATTTGATTTGATATTTTAGCTGCAAATCAAAGCTGGGCGAGTTAGCTGTTTATAAATTTGGAAAGCAAAAACTGAGCGTTAACACTGTTGCGTTGCAGTGCTGTGGCCTATGTTCAATTCCAGGGTGCTTGTGGGCTATCTGAATGGAGTAAGTATGTTCTCCTGTTAATCTGGGCTTTCACCGGGTGTTCTGGTTTCCCACAGGCCAAAGACATACAGGTAGGTGAACTGGCTTCTAGGAAAACTAGCTCTTGTGCGTGTGTCTGTGCGCCCTGCTATGGATTGGCACCAAATCCAGGGTGTTGCCAGGATTGGCTCTGGCTCCCCCGTCTCTGTATTGGATAAAGCAGCTAGAAAATGGCTGGTCATATGAAAGACCTGATTTAATCTCTATGGAGTCTTTTTTCTTGCATTCCTGGCATAATCTGTAGCAAATTAGAAATTCTGTTTACAGGAAATAGAGAGTCTAATTTTAAAAAGATTAAATAATTCTCTCTCTGCCTCTTACCTTACACATGAATAACTGATTTTTTAAATCGTACTGTGGTCCTTGTCTGACAGTTAATCTGGAAAATAATCAAAAACATGTCCTTTCTCATAGAAATATGTAATATGTGCCATCTATATACACACTTTCATTTCAATTTTGTAGATTATTCTGGGTACTCCTTAGTATGTCTGTAGAAATGTTGGCTTGTTTTGAGACTTTTTATGTAGATGAAAATGTGAAAACAAAGTTACAAATAAAAAGTTCTTAAACTTATGATTATGTTCCCTGTTTTTTGCCTTAGCGATCAAATACACATTTTCAGTACAAAATGCTATTTCTCTGAATACATTTTGAAAGTGGGAGATAATCTTACTAGATTATGACTTCTGGCAAATGCCTTTCTATTAATTAGTGCAGTTCATATTGTTTGAGTGTGCTTGATTTACATTAAATAATTTTTATTAGAAGCACTAATACATGTTACATGTGCGTCATATGTCTATACCACAGGCATGTCTAATAGGATGAAATGTTACTTTTTTGTTTTATCGTTTAATATAAATTAACCTTAAAGCCATAATCTTTTTATTACTATGAAATCATAAATATTAAAGCTCACGTTATGTGTATCTGAATTATGCCTTTTCTACCAGTGTATAATAGGTTTTATGGCTTCCTTGTGTCCAGCTCGCAAGATTTATTAGTTCTGATTGTAATTAATCAAAAAAAAGAGCAGCTGCATAAAGACTGTGGAAGTGAATTCAAACAACCTGTTTCAAAGATCTCTCGTGCTAATCAAGATAAATTACACTGCCTTGGTATGTAATTTCACCACATGTCAAATACTGTTTTCTACAAATGGGAAAGTATACTTTGCTGCCTTATCTCAGGCCTTTTGTATGTATTATATCTTAACTAAAATAGCAGGTACTCTGCTTTGTAAGTTTTGTAAGACTTTCAGGAATATGAAAATTATTAGTGATATGTAGTTAGACATACAGTAAGTCCGCATAAACTGCAAAACATCTCCTAAGATTAAGAATATGTGTGCTAAAACTTTCACATTCATCTATTTGTACATTTTTAATATGTATTCAGTGAAATATGGAGAGAAAACAATGCTGACTAAACAAATTGATTTGAAAAATTCATTTTGCTTCTCTTCTCCACAAGCAAAACTATAAATAATTGAGCATAGACTAAGATTACTTCCTGAGATTACCTGTTTTCTTATTAAAACCGACTGTGTGAATAAAGAAGAGAAGCATATCAAGTATTATTTCAGATAATTATTTTATTTGGCAGACGTCAAATAGCTTTGAAGGATGGGACTAGTACAGGCAGTGGTAATGAGGCCTTCTAGAGACAGAGCAACAGTGTATCTGACACCGGAATGTGCCATGTACCTGAGACGAGGTTTACGTGCCAATCAGAAAAGGACGCGCTCCGCACCTGCTGCGTCTTGAGCTGGCACGCGCCACACTCCTGCAGCCAGCCAGCACTCGCGTGGCAGCTGCTCTGCGCGCCAACACAAACCATAGACGCCAAAGTTCAGAAGCAATGAAACACTCCCCCACCCAACGCTCGCACTTGTAATCTTTTCACTTATTCAAATGCTGTAGAAAACAAAGCATAATGAATGAGGCTTTGTCCATACACTCCCTGGAGCACTACCCCTCCCCTCCCCCTTTAATAAGCCTTTCAAGAGCCTTTATGTCGGAAAGCACAACTTTCAGATTTCAAGTTTGGAATGAAATGGTGAGCATTAGAAAAATTAAAAAACGCACTTCTAATGCTGTCAATGAGTAATCACTCATATTCAGAAACTACATCAGATGGTAAACGCAAGACATTACAATTATTTAAAAACGTGGTTAAAAACAAAGCTCTCGGTAAGTTTTTTTTTTCAGTAGCGTCCATCATCAAATTGACAAATAGCTAAAGAAATAGCACATCACCTGATGTAAGTACTTGCTCCTGTCGGTTTCCTGGACATGAAAGGAGAGGGATACACTATCTTACCACCTGCCATATGCTTATGGTGTAACTGGTAAAACCTGAAACCACGGCTGCCTCTGTTGCTAGAGGGAGCTTCTGGATTCTGTTTGTGTGAACCGTTCATTTTATCATCACTGTTCTGTTTAAAGGGCGATTGTTTTTTTTTCCCGGGCAAACGGTTTCCTTCTTAGTTTATCAGTCGTCATTGGAGGTTAGCTTGTGAGGGCAATTCATCAGGAAAATTTGCCCATGCAGGCTTCAGTTAAGAGTTCACACTTGGGCTGCTTGGGTCTTATTTTGTAGACTGAATTTTTGGCTTACAATTATTTCAGATATAAAAATTGTTTTATTCAGAAATAGTAATTCAGGCTCGTTTTTATAGGCTTTAAAACGAGTATAGTTTTTAAAAGAGTTTAATAATGATGTTCAACTGCAACATTTTTGTAACGTGAAAAGGCCACGTGAGTTTTTTTACCCCAAAGAAATTCGTATTAATGTTGAATACAGGCAGTTATCTGACATATATATATATGTAAATGTATACAGTGAGAATACTATAATTTTCAGACTTGCACAACGTCTATAATATTATGTAATTCCAACCCACATTGAAACCACGTCTTCCTGTACTGAATGCAACAGAAAATTCAGCAAGACAGTCCCTTGACTCCATCGTGCCATCTAGTGTCCCCGATAAAACACAGTGCCGTCCCGCCGTGGAAAATGCTACCGCCGACAGCTGCCCGCACGCCTTTTTCAAGTCACACCTTTTTTCCCTCTTTGACTTGGTTTAAAATGTATAGGCTGATCGGCCGCGACGGTTTGAGTCTGCGTTTCCTGAAACTAAATGGACAGAGCAGCTACTCAAGATCATGTGGCACTGTATACAGTATGCTGAGCTGTGCTTGTCGTGCACACCAGTCAGTTTCTTTCAGACCCACCACTTTCAGCACTGTTTCGCTTCATATTTGTATGTGGGGCAATGAACAGGAGATAAAGCACACGCAGACGGTGCGCTCATTAGAATACCCGTCTTGTCGATTCAAATCCAGAGACCTCGTGCGCTGTACTCCCTCGCTTTGCATGTGAATGCTTTCACTGTTTTTTTTTTCCTTGCAAAGCAGTCGGTGAGAGGCGTGCGCGAGGTGACAGAGGACCGCCTGCCTTCTCGCCGACTCCGCCCTCTAAGGCAGTCTGACAACAGTCTAGCCTGTGGGGAGAAACTTTACAGCAGTTACAAACAAGCGTGGAGACGGTTCACGCAGACCTGCTTGCTGTGTTTCTTCAAGGAACGGCAGCGGTGTAATGCCATGAACTAAAGGGGGTTTCGGAAAACGCATGTGTAATGATAATAACATAACTGTGACTAACCTTTGTAGTAAGATTTTAAAAAGCTCAAAACTCAGCATTGAGTAGGGTACCACCAAATGACCGTAATCATATTTTTCCACTTATGGTGACAGCTGTGGCGGCGGTTAAGGTAGTAGTCGTGGAGTTGGTGCAGAAAGAGTGGTACTGTAGAACCGTGTAAAAGATTACTTACAGCAGTTGTTACCAACGACCACAAGTTTTCCCTGTGTGATAGGCAAGGGCTGTTTTAAGCGTGGGGCACCGTGAGGTCTGCATTAAAAACAAAGGATAGCCTCGGTTTATTTCCTAAACTGCATTAGATTGGTTTCAGTTCAAGAGTGCTTAAACCAAATGTAATTTATTTCCATGCATGACTAGCAAAGAAAAAAAATCCTAAAAACTACATGAGCATGTCCCTTTAAAACTAAGTTTGCAGTGTACACTGGAATGAGGTCAGACATAAAGCTCCTCATTGCACGCGCTGATTATTATTAGATTCGTTTTTAGCCAATGGGCGCCTGAGGGGCGTGCTTTTGGCGCAAGGCAGGGTAGAGACAGCAGCGGATTGGTTGTGCTCTGTCGCCATTATAGCTTTGGAAAAGGATAAAGCTGCGCGAGGCGGAATTGAAGTCTGCTTTAAGTTGCAGACTGCAGATGGAAGGCGGACTATAGCAGAGTTCAACAAGCTTGGTCTTCCCGCATGGTGCTAAGGGGAAGGCTATGCAAAAACTATTCTGTAACCTGAGAGAGTAGAAGAGAGAGCTTTTGTAGCTTTAGAACGTGAACAGTAGTACAGAACTCCTGTACAGCCCTGCAAGCAGAAATAAAAAAAAAAACTGCCGCACTACAGAGTTGGGTTTGAACCCGTTACATAAAGCACTCTGGGGGGAAAAGGCGCTTTGGAAACTGGAAATCGTTTCTGCAGACAAAACTGAACTGCACAACCAGAGACACTTGAACAGAAGCCTACCAGACGTGCGGCCACAAAAACTGAAAAGGCGATATACTGCAACTCCTGTGGTTCACAAGTCGCCGTTCGACAAATCTCAGGACTAATATTATCACTAAAGTAATATATACAAGTGTGGGACGGAAATTGGTTAAGAGTTTGCATTAGAGCGGCCAGGCTCGACAAACTCAGGACTCAGAATTTCTGTGAATCGGCAGACGCTTGTAGTTTGCTGAACAAGTACTTTAATATTCACATACATCAAAAAAAACTGAACTATGGTACAGCAAACGAACAACACCGAGAATACGGAAGCGGTGCTGGTGGGGGAGTCTACGGACTCTGGAGCTATGGACCTGGGTATGGCGTCCTCCCCGACACCCGGCTCCACGGCATCCACGGGGGATAAAATGGACCCAGCCTGGTGTAAAACCCCCAGCGGTCACATCAAGAGACCCATGAACGCGTTCATGGTGTGGTCACAGATCGAGAGGCGAAAGATCATGGAGCAGTCGCCGGACATGCATAATGCCGAAATATCCAAGAGACTGGGCAAACGCTGGAAGCTGCTTAAAGACAGCGACAAGATCCCCTTTATTCGAGAGGCGGAGCGGCTCCGGCTGAAGCACATGGCTGACTACCCAGATTACAAGTACAGACCGAGGAAGAAGGTAAAGTCAAGTAGCGCCAAACCGGGGGAAAAGGGGGAGAAGATCAGCAGCAGCAACTGCAGTAGCGCCAGCACTAAGCCCTCCTTGAAAAAGAGCAGCAGCGCGAAATCGTCCAACAAACCCCACAAAATAGTGCTGGGAAGCTCAAAATCGGCGTTCCCCGACCAGGTCTCCCACGCGGTCACTACGGATCACCATTCCCTCTACAAATCCAGGTCAGTCTCTGCAGCCAAGCAGATCCCTGACAAGAAAACTAAGAGGGTGTATATTTTCGGGGGAAGCAACCATGGTATCAGCCCCTCGTCCATAGCTGTCCCTGCCAGCCCGACTCTCAGCAGCTCCGCAGAATCCAGCGACCCGCTGAGCCTCTACGAAGACGGAGCTGCGAGTAACAAGGAAGGTGCCGACTCGCCCGGTGCGTCGTTGGACCACCACAGGTACACAAGTATGCGGGCATCATCCCCGACCCCCTCAGCCTCTCATTCGTCCTCTTCCTCCCAGTCCTCGTCCTCGGACGAAGAGTTCGAAGACGACTTACTGGACCTTAACCCTAGCCCTGGTTTTGACAACATGTCGCTGGGGAGCTTTAGCTCCTCGGTTTTGGACAGAGACTTGGATTTTAATTTTGAGTCGGGGTCTGGCTCTCATTTCGAGTTCCCCGACTACTGCACTCCCGAAGTAAGCGAAATGATTTCAGGGGACTGGCTGGAGTCGACCATTTCAAACTTGGTTTTCACTTACTGAGCGACAAGATATCCTGATGTGTTGGGAATAATTTCTTTGCTCTTAATGAAAAAGGGATTCCAGAAAAGGTGAGTTTGAACCTTGCGAGAAGAGTCCCACTTGAGGAAGAAGGAAAGCGCTAATGAACTGTAAGTGTAACGCTTGCGTTTCGTTTCAAGGATCAAGGAATTGTGCTGAGTGGGTATCGGCTTGAGAGAAGGCTGAAGAAATTGTTTAACTTGGAAAGAGGAAGATATTAGTGCAACCTGATTAGGAGTGACTGAGATCCTATTGAAATAAACACTCGGTCTGAACTGGAAAACTGTAATTGATTTGCACGTACATGAAGGCGGGCTTATGTTGGCTATACTTTAATCAATGTTACTTAAAAGGGACAATTGATAGAACTTTTCCGAATCGCCAAGTGAACTTCATTACTTAAGAGGTACAAAAATTGGCTGTCTCGACCAGTTTTTTTTCTCGTGATGGACGTATTTAACAGGTGGGTTGACTTAAAAAAATAAAAGAAAAAACGCATGTTACCGTGTCTTCTTTTTCTGAGATTTCTTTAAGACTGTTGAACAGTTAAAACTAGTGTTAGGGTTATTTAAAAATGGATAGATGGCGCTATGTTTGATTCCTACGAAAAAAGGAAAATCACCAGCTTTTTTCATTCTTAACTTTTTCAGGATTCAAACGCTACTCAAATCTGTGCTGGACTTTATACTCTATACAATTCAGGACCAAAATTCTTTAGAATTTGTTTCTCCGATGTTAAGAGAAACCTTTTTTCCTCACCGATTTTTCATCCTCGTGTTTTTTTCCCTTGTACATGTTATCAGATACCATTTTATATATGGATGTATTTATACTGGCCAAACATTTTTGACTTTTTGTTTTCGTAGGTCTTGTTGTGTATACCTGCACCGTCTGTCTCCTTCGCTGAAGGGCTAGAGTTTTAACTTTTAATTTTTTATATTTAAATGTAGACTTTTGACACTTTTAAAAAGAGAGGAAACGTTTGATTATTTTCTCAGTGTATTTTTGTACAAAATATATAAAGGGGGTGTCAATCGGTGTATATCGCTGTTTGGATTTCCTAATTTTAAGAACCGGGGGGTTGGTTTTCTCAAAATCAACCACCTATCCATGTTTACAGTTCAATCTGCAGGCTTCTTAAAGACGCAGTATCTCAATTTTCAGTGTCATTTTAAACATTTGTTTAAACGAATAAGTATTCTGAGCAGCCATTACTGCTTTTTTAAGTACATTACCTAAAAAAGAGATACTGTAGCTTTAACTGATCCATTTCTTGGCGCTTTTATAACAAGCAAAAGTTTGGTTTTAACCACTGGATGGATATACTCAAAATGCCGATTTGAGTTCGCGACACTTATGTACTGCGTTTCTCATTATTGTATTTGAATATTTAATCTTTTCTACTTGTCGGCTAAATATACTTGTTTTAGTATCTTATGGCATGGTGAATAGCATTTGTATTTCCGATTCAGGTTTATAGCTGTTGTGTTTAAAAAGAAAAAAAGGAAAAAAGTGAAAACATCTTTGTACATTAAGTCTGTATTATAAGCAAAAGAAGATTGTGTGTTTATGTATGTTGTTGAGATATAACATGACAGGCACTAGAACAGCTATCTTTATACATTCTACTTACGTTTAAGGTGGTTGTTCATGTTTTTTATATAAATATATTAACTTTATTTTCATCCATTCTGTGCAATATGCTGTGTAGAATATTGTTTCGTCTAATCATGCCATAACGTTTGGAGGAAAAAAACTCATGCCAGCTAATCGTGTCAAGTCACTGCCTGTCAGATTGTTGATATACTTCTGTAAATAACTTTTTTTCAAGAAGGAAATAAAATCAGCTGGAACTGAACCCTATATCTTGCTTCGCAGTCTTGTTTTGCACGGTCTGTGTGTGGGAGTGTGAGCGTGTCTGCCTGTCATGTGCAAGAGACTGTCTCGGTCCTATTTTTAGGTATGTAAAATGTGACGTACCTTTGTTTACTTATTTGATACACTTAGTCATACAGTAACGGGGGTGTAACCTGGCTACATGCTACTTCAGTTTACTAAAACCTTCTGAATGTACAGAATATAGACTAGATCCCTTCCCCGGGTATACTGAGAAGCATGCAAATCTGCGAGGAGGTTGTGCGTCTGCGTTTTGTGAATGCCCGTTTCACTTGATCCCAATGGGTTTTTTAATCGTCCATTTCAAAGTAAGCAAGTGCGATTTTTTTCTCTGCGTGAGAAAGTGATCCAGACGGATAGATTAATTCAGATGCATTTCTAGTTTCGAGCGGGATGCGTCTCCCCTCCCCCTACGCCAGACAGACATGAAGGCATGGGGGGAGGGAGGGGGGAAGGGCAATTAAGGCCATCCAGGCACAAAGCAGACAAGCCTCCCAAGAAGCGTCTAAAATGACCGCAGATCCAGTCAAGCTAAAGACTGACTAACGGAAATCTTACTCTGCCGTTTAGGTTTGTCACAGAGCTTAAGCCGTTTCGTTTTCAAACGTTTAAACTTTCTCCCTCGCCTTTTTTCCTCGTCTCGGCTGTTTTCTAGTGTAGAGAATGCGGTGCCCCAGTGAGAAGAGAAAGCAGTAGGAATGTTCTCCAGACAGTACGCTTACATGGGGGAGGGGTGTCAGACGACTGTGAGAAGGCTGACTACTAAGTCCCAGAGGATACTTGCAGTTGATGGCTGTTGAAATGAATGACCTTTTTTTTTAGAATGCATTTATTGCAAGTATAAAAATCTCCATTCAGCCATTTATGAAAACGCCACTAGTTTGAAAATGCTTTTAGATCACGATCATAAGCAAAATAAAACGTATATAAATCGGACCCATAGTTTCCATGGCAGAGTATTGTTTCATGCAATGGGATTAAAATAAAGTCGTTCTGATTTCACTTCCATAATTTTCAGTTCTAATTGAATTGCTTTTAGTCCGGTTTTACTTATTGCATTTGTATGTTATGAAGAAGTTTCTGCTTCGAATACGAATCAACAAGGGAGAACATTTACACGATGACACACTTAGTACTGGACTAATCTAATTTCTGTGACTGTATATAGCAATACGACAATAATACAATTATACACTGGGAGTATAGTGTTGGGGTGGTTTGGGGGCTTGACAAATATGACGTTTATTTGACGGATTTAAAAGTGGTATACCTAGACGTGTAACTGCAGACAAAAACTACCACTGTTATGCTACCACCTCAATTACAGATAGGGAATATGACTATTCATCGTGAAGTCTTTGGAATCACTTCCAAAGTACGATGTGGAACAGAAGTCCATGGATTTAAAGACAGCCCACCAACAGGGGCACTGTTTATCCTCCTATTTTTTCTTCTCTTTTGGCAACACTGGGTTGCTTTCACAATGAGATCCAATGATAAATATTTCAGTTATTTTCTTTCAGTCATGAAAATTAATCCTCCACATTATTTTCTTGTAAAAATACTGTGCTGTAGCAGTCCAAAATAACTTGAATGTTCGTGACACTCCCACAGAAGTAACACCTGCTTTTTTGTGTGCTAGAACACTCCGATCTTAACACTTCAGTGCTTTGCCAAAACATTACTGAATCACAACTGTAGACCAATCTAAGATGCTTGTTGGTGTTTCCTGCTGCAATAACACAGCAATGTTTTGAAATTGAGAGCCACAAACACAAGATGCAAAAGCTCATTACCAATAATGCATCACTTTTGTAGAAAGAATAACAGCAAAGCGCCAAGACCATGTGGAAACAATCATTTTATCTGTAGGAAAATGTTTTTGTATATGTGGGTGTATTAAATGTAAAAGATGAATATCTTTTAAGTATTATTAATACTTAAATACAGTAATATCTGATTGCAGTAAGAAGTCAGTTATTCTGAAATTCAGTCTGAATGTCCTATGATTTTTTTCTCATCCTCCTGTTTTGTAAAATTTGTATTTTAATACTTGGTTATAATGTCTTAAAATAATGTAAATAAATAAGAAATGTGTTGTAAAGAAGAATCACAATGTTATTTCCCCTTTACCTCTATTGGACTGTGCCTATGAATGTATCTGTATCTTTCTGTTATTTAATTTCTTGTCTAATACATGATTGTGTGTGTTCTTAGTTTTGATAGTTATATCTCAATGAACCTCAGTTGTTGTTATAATAACTAAAACTTGAAAAAATGCAGACTACCAGAAAGCGCACAATGTAAAACAAAATAATAAAATAGTTTTTGAGATTCTTAAGAACATAAGAAATGTCTGAAATGAAAGCCCATTACTGTACACTCATTTGGATGCTAGAAGCTAACTTATCCAATGATCTCATACAGCTGTTACTTGAAGCTATAGCTGGTAGCTTGTTGCAGTGCATTCTGTTCTTAGTCTTAAAAGCAAGTTAGTTATCAGGGGATACTTAATGTTTGCAACACCTTTATAACATTAAGATTAAATATTTGTATAAAACACTATCCTTGTGACATATGTTTAAGTATTTTATTTTAATCTAGAACCTTTTCACCAATAAAATTATTTTAGGATGCAATAAAGATGGATCCAGAATACAAAGTTACATGGTCTGTAAACCATGAAGGTAAGAAAACAAGACTTTCAGATAGAACCAACTGTACTGTTAACCTATTTATCATGTACATTTAGTGCAGATGTCTTTCTGAAGTGCTTTTTAATCTGATATAATTTGTTATAATAATGGTATTTTAGCTAGGTAAGACATTTATTATAATGACATTAAATGTACAAGTGAATGTTAACCTTTCTATTTTGCTTCTGTTAAGAGTTATACGGGGTGAAGATGGACAGCTGATGAAGATTTATAAAGCATAATTTGGTTGCTTTGATGTTTAGGAATACTAAATGAAAAGTAAACCATTCCTCACTGGACTCGCAAGACTTGGACAGAGATTGAAATTTGTGATAAAAAGGGGTAGGGGCAGTTATATAATGAGTGTGGTGTAAAAAATGACATTTGTATAATAGTGCAAATATGTTGAAAAGAAAAACTAGAAACATACAATAAATGTATTATGAGGGTGAGCTGTATAAATGATAACATTTTTATATTAATTAACAATAATAATCCCTGGGTCACCAGTGATCTGAAGGCCGTCCGAAATAGGATGGAGGGCTTTTCGGGTAGGTGACAAGGAGGAGCTGAGGCAAGTGCAGAAAGAGCTGAAGTTGAGTTAGGGAGAGCAAGGTGGCTTATGGGAGGAAAATGAAGGACAGGCTGATGGAGAGCAATGTAAGAGAGGTGTGGAATGGCATGAGGAAGATCTCCGGATACAAGTTGTCCAGCGGCTAACAGAGTGAGGGAAGCCTGGAGAGGGCCAATGAGCTGAATCTTTTCTTTAACAGATTCGATACAGGGTCCACTGTCCATTCACCTCACAGGCCTTCACCCCAGACACCCTCTTCATGTCCTCAGTCCCCCCATCATGAGATCCCTCCTACTCCATCTTCCCCTGCCCTCCTCGGCCTATCCATCACAGCTGACCAGGTCAGAAGGGAGTTGAGGAGACTCCATGCAGGGAAGGCAGCGGGTCCTGAAGGTGTCAGCTCCAGGGTGCTAAAGATCTGCGGGGACCAACTGGGTTCAGTGCTGCAGTACATCTTCAACCTGATCATGAGATTAGAAAGGGTTCCGGTGCTCTGGAAGACATCTTGCCTGGTGCCAGTACCCAAAAAGGGGCACCCTAAAGTCTTGAATGACTACAGACCAGTGGCACTGACAACACACCTAATGAAAACTCTGGAAAGGCTTATACTGGACCACCTCAGAACCCTGGTGAGTACAGCACTGGACCCCCTGCAGTTCGCCTACCGGTCACACTTGGGAGTGGAGGATGCAGTCACCTATCTGCTACACAGAGCTAACTCTCACCTGGAGAAGACGGGGAGCATTGTGAGAGTTATGTTCTTTGACTTCTCCAGTGCCTCTAACACCATCCATCCACCTTTACTGAGAGATAAGCTAAGGGTGGCGCAGTTGGACAGTCCCCTGGTGTCCTGGATTCTAGACTATCTGACCAGCAGGCCACAGTATGTACGGCTACAGAGCTCTGTGTCTGAACAGGATGTTAGCAGTACTGGGGCCCCAGAGGGGACTGTCCTTGCTCCATTCCTGTTCACCTTTTACACCTCTGGCTTCAGATACAACTCTGAGGCATGTCATCTGCAGAAGTTTTCGGATCACTTTGCAATTGTAGGGTGTATTAGAGAGGGGAGGGAGGAGGAATATAGGAGCTTGATTACCAACTTTGTGGAGTGGTTTCATCTTAACCATCTCCAACTAAACACCAGCAAGACCAAAGATTTGGTCATGGACTTTCGAAGGAAGAAGTCTCCGCTGAACCCTGTTTCCATCCAGGGTGAGGACATAGAGGGGGTGCAGTCCTACAAGTACTTAGGGGTACACCTGGATGATAAGCTGGAGTGGTCTGCCCTAGGCTAGGACTGTTAGCCCTTCATTTGCTCGTCTATGGACAGCATGTTGCTTCATTGTACTTTTTTTGGACACTAAATCTGTATATACCTATGCACATTTTGCACATATTTTATTGTTTTTACAATGACTATGATCATATTTTGCACACACCTATGTATTTATTTTTATTTATTTTATTTTATTTTATTTTATATTTATTTTGTACGACTGTATTTTAATTTTTCGTCTATTCTGATGTTTTTTTGCTCGTCTTGGGCTGGACTGCTGTAACACATCGATTTCCCTTCGGGATCAATAAAGTCTAATCTATCTATCTTTTTAGCTAATATATTTATGCAGCACAGTGGAGCAGGGTTTAGCATTGCTTGCTCACAACTCTTTAGTCCTGAGTTTGATTCTAGCCTATGG